TGAAAGCTTTAAACTTAGAAATGGAAGGATAATAAGTTTGAATTAACTTCTATTAATGTGTCTGAGTCGAACACCGTCACGCATCCCTTTGAGAAAGTTGTGTCCCTTATAGCTGCACAGTAACACCTCTTGTGTAAAATTCACACATAATAACATGAATTACACAGTCAACATTATCATCCTGCAAGCTTCACCAGAAGTGCTTCCATGTCTAGTACACATTTTAGCATCAGTCCAAAATAAATTAGGGGTCTCAGCATTCATGTTCTGCTCTGGTGGATAAAATAAGCTCCAAATTGGCTTCTTGGGGAAACTTGTATGGTTGGGAGAACTGAGCTGATTAGAGCTGTCATCTACCCAATAATTTTGTACTGGTGCTCAGCATTTCAGTTACCTGCTGCTGTGATATCCATTGAGAGGAAGATAAAAAAATTCCTTGGGGGCTCTACCGATCAAGCTTCCAAGATGCACTATATGAGATGGGACATGGTAGCCAGGCCTAAAAGTGAAAGGGGCTTTGGAATTAGAAGAATCAAGACATATGCTGTGGTGCAGGTGGTTTAGGGACAAGTATGCTAGGGATGCTTCCTACTGGAATGCTTTACAGCCTACCTCCAGCTCTTCTACATGGGAATATAAGCTGTTTGAGGGATCTTGTTCTTCATGCTACCTCATTTAAGATCTTTGATGGACACATGTTTAGCTTGTTCCAAGACCCTTGGTGTGAGGGACTTTGTCTCAGAGGTTTGGGCACATAATGGTGAGATCCATGCCTTTTTCCTAGGGATGCTAATTTGAATGTGCTTACTGCCTGTTGCAAAGCAAAAAAGGGAAGCGAAGAGATAAATAAAACGAGTAGAACACACAGATATTTACGTGTTTCAGCCATTAGGGCATACCTCCACGGCACAAAGAGCCCAAAGGGCTACATCACTTTTATAATACTCTCTCAATTCATATACAATATAATCGTGGAGGCTCCTTTATATAAGAGAAGAAATTATGAGAATGGAAAGAACAAGAAAATAGGAAACAAGGAGGATTTTTCTCCACCAATTCATTTAGTAACACCAAATCTTCAATAATACGAAACAACATCAATTACTGAAAAATTTTCCTCCACTGATTCCTCCATTAAATCTTCAATACTCCCCCTCAAGTTGGAACATGAATGCCCAACTTGCCACTGAGATGACGAGTAATAACATGTGTGAATGATGAAGAGAGATTAGGGAAGACAAAGAACAATGCTACCTAACACACCAGCAACACAAACAAGTCAAACAAAAATTGCCGGAGACACGGCGAAGGCGAAGAATAATACAACCGAACACATCGGCAGTCCAAGCAAGTCACAAATAGCACCAAGAAACACCCTTAGCAACATTTCAGATGCTAAGGGAATACCCCCAAAATAGGGGTCCGAACCTAGGAAGAGAAATTAGGCTCTGATATCATGTTGCAAAGCATAAAACGGAAGCGAAGAGATAAATAAAACAAGTAGAACACACAGATATTTACGTGTTTCAGCCACTAGGGCCTACATCCACGGCAAAAAGAGCCCAAAGGGCTACATCACTTTTATAATACTCTCCCAATTCATATACAATTCAATGGTTGAGGCTCCTTTATATAGGAGAAGAAATTATGAGAATGGAAAGAATTAGAAAATAGGAAACAAGGAGGATTTTTCTCCACTGATTCATCTAGTAACACCAAATCTTCAATAATAGGAAACAACATCAATTACTGAAAGATTTTCCCCCACTGATTCCTCCATTAAATCTTCAATATTGTCAATAACAGATGGTGTCTTGAGGGACTACCTATTTCTGAAATGCAGAATGTTATTCAATAAATTACTGCTGTCCCTCTCTCTTCTGGTGATGACTCTTTCAGATGGAACAATGGGAAATTCTGCTTTAAGAGAGCTTGGGAGACTTGTAGAATGCATAATCCGAGGGTGTCATGGTATATAAATTATGTTGGAATAAGGCTAGACAGAGGTGTTGCTTGACAGTATGCATCATTCTTCAGGATAAGCTATCTTGTCCTAATCTGCAGAAGAGGGGTATATCATTGGCTCCCATATGCTATAATTGTGGAAAAGCAGTTGAGAATACAGATCACTTATTCTTTGGCTGTGTGCTGGCCAGGAAAATATGGGACTGGTTTAGCTCATTTTTTCAGTGGAATTTACACTGCCAATCATTTAGTGATTAATTGAACTGGGCTGAGCTTAGAACTGAAACTACTACTCACTTCTCCATGCTATTCACATCTACTCTGTGGGCCATTTGGAGGGAAAGAAATACCAGAATGCATAGGGACTGCAGTAGGGGTGATGTGGAGATTGTTAGAGCTATCATCTTTGAGGTTCTGGATGTTGCTGCTATTGCTTCTGTTAATGACCTCTCTTGTTGATCTTAGACAGCTTCTGATTATTGTTTTGTTACGGATGCACCCGTAGTGCTTCTCAATTTTGGTTTATGATTTTCTTGTATGAGTTCTCATCCTCAAATATACCATTGTACTGAATGCTTGTCTTTAGAATAATATCATCACATTTATGAAAAATAAATAAATAAATAAATTGGGGGTATAGCTTGTGGGAGCTTACAGGAGCAAATAATAGACTTTTGAAACAAGTAAATAATTTGCAGACACAAAACCAGATAGAGTTTGAACTATCAAAAATTAGTTAAAGACAAAGCAACAGGTCCATTGAGGATGCATCGTGGTTGCTTGATCAAGTGAAAAATGAAATGGTTCTGCTGCATGAGAAACTTCAGAAGCGTACATGGACAGTTTGATCTTGATATGACATCCACAAATCCACACATGAACTTCCAGTTTTTTCACAAAGTATCTAAGATAAAGGTCAACTTCCCTAGTTTCTAGACTAAGCATTTCTTCCTATGTTTTTTTTGGATAAATAAATTATTATTATTATTTTTGGATAAATAAAGCATTTCTTCCCATGTAAAGTAGACAGTTAAATACACAGGCTACTCAGTTGCATAGATATACAGGTAAAATCAACACCATATGACAGATCAACAATCTGGGGCATAGTAGGTCTCCATAAAAAATAAAAACATAAAACTAAATCTGAATTATATTACAATAAACACTCTTTACATGCAAACTTGTGCCAGCAGAAATTAATATTCCCAATTTACAAATTCTATCATAGAGAGAGATTTTACAGGTTTGATATATTAAATAATTAACAACAGATATAACCTTTAAACTAAATTCATTTTAAGTCGCAATCAAGTAAGAGACAGTAACAAAAAAAATGCTGGAATCAAGTTCAATGATTGAATATATTTGCTGGAATCAAAAGGCAAGAGATAAGTTACTGTTTATACCCCTTTTGATCATAGTGATAAACAATTTAGTTAGCAAGGGCCAGCATAAACCTATATTCAGGAAAGTGTTTAGACTATTTGTTGAGGTTTAAACAAAAGGTTATTTGCTGGGGACCTTGTGTAATTTAAGTTCCATTGCTTGTTCTTAAAACAATTGTACAGCAATCGCTCCAAAAGATTATTTGTTGCGTTGATTTTTTATTATATATTCTGGATCAATATGATTTTTAGTCCCAAGTTATCTAATATGTAGCTGTAAGGAATTGTAATAATAAGAAGATGACTAAAGGTGCCTTGAACGGTCATTCCACAGTGTCACACAAATTAAGTTTCAGACCTGTAATATAGTCATGCGTACTTCTTGTTATGTACCACGAAGATCATGTATCAACATAAGGTTTTTGAGTTCCTATAATGATTTCCTAGTCAAAAAGCAAAATTTCGATGTTACTTAAAAGCAAATTCAAGTTCTCATCCGCCAACATACCTGTGAAAGATGTCAACAAACCTTCATTGAAAGGAGCCTAAAATCATTAAACTGGTTGATCCCTTTTCCATCGCAAATCTTCCACCACAAAGCCTGCATGACCAAGCAAAATTATCACATTAACATGTGTAAAAAAAAAAATGCAATTACGAATTTAGATACAACATATAACTGATTGTGAAATGAAGGCAATAAAATGCCCCAAAGGAACTGAATTGGCCCATTTACTGAATTGAGCTGCAATATAAGAGTGTACATCTATAGATATAAGTATATATAAAATGAGGATCAATTTACACTGGTATAAGTGAAGCTATTCGTACACCCTTTTTGCAACAGTTTAATAGTAATAGTATTTCGTCAAGCCCATCATTTACCTGCATTAGTGTTCAATTCATGTGCTCGTGCACAAGCACATAAACCAAAACTCTGATCAACTATTTGTGGTGCAATGTCAATGGGACAGGTACAAAACTCCGATAAACTTGATATTTGACATCCTTGACACAATACAACACACAAACACACGTGCTCGTGCACAAGCACATAAACCAAAGACATGCATGCATCCGTACATACATACAGATAAAAGAAATACCATAATCAACATCTTTCTTTCATCTGTGCAATAACAATGAATGTGAAGTTAAACACAGGTCACTACAGGCAAAATTTACTTCAAATATACAAGAAACAAAATGGAAAGCTGACTGATACTAAATTCACATAAACTAGTACAAAAAGCATCTACATAAATGTTGATTCAAATTTTAATAAAGCTAAGTGTAAGCGGTGAAATTACTGACATCCAACATATGATCAAGAAACAGTTTCTTTGTAATCCGTTTAATAAAGCTAAGCGTAAGCTGTGAAATTACTGACATCCAACATATGATCAAGAAACAGTTTCTTTGTAATCCGTTGGACCTGTCAAACCAAAACAAGTGGGATTAGAGATATTCAAGCAACTTTAACCCTATTAATCGGAGATATTACTGAACTACAAAGGGAAGAGAACAAAAATGAGAACGCACAAATCATTATCAGTTCTTATTTTCTGATCTTCACCTGATTGTTCAAAAAGGAAGGCACCAACTGGTTATCTGTTCATTTGGTTCATTGATTTTAAGAAAAATAGATTTCAATCAAGATTTGGGACCCTTTTCATTTAGATGGAATCTGTACAACAACATTTCTATTATAGCTCTGTGCACTTTCCACTCATTACAAGTTAATTAACAAAACGAGAAAAGGAAAGCAAAAGAAGAGGGTGTCACAAGCCAAATTCACCCCCAATAGAAAATGAAAACTAATAAACAATATCATGGACCATGTTTCTGGAAGTTAGACCTACTAAAGAATTCCTGAGATAGATTAAAATCCTTCTAGAAATTTTGAAAATTGTCTATTCAACAATTTGTATGTTTTCAGTTCCTTAGGACCAAATTTTGTTGCACAATCATTGAACTTCAACTCTAGTGGACACAGGGCATCAAACATGTCTGGTCCATCCATTTCCATTTTGACATTAGAGACAAGCTTCTTCTCAGGTGTTTTAAAAACCAAGGTCGTAAATCTCTCATCTTTAGAAGCAGAATTCTCTGGCATTTTATCCATGCTGGACATCTTCTCAGAGAATGCAACTGGTTCATGTAAAGAGAAAATATTCACTTTTTGGGAGCCATAGCATGAATCTTTTTGGGACCCATAATACATCTCATCTCTGTCATCGCCAAGGTGAACAGCGTGGTCATTTTGAAGATCAGAGCCAGAACCAGACATGGCAATTTCATTGGCTACCTGCATGACCTCGTTGCACTTGAGAGAAAGTTGAGTATCAGCTGACGATACATCTGCTTCTTCTCCCACACGCAGCTTATGTAGAGTGAGCAGAATAGGAAGAGGAAGAACTGGACCCGCAGGTGCATCACCAGGCTGCACTTTTTTTGACCACTTACTGCTACGGCATGAAGGCTTGTGCAAGAAGAAAGGAGGCAACTGGGGTTGGAGGGGAATATTTAAGAATTCCAAGGATACCTTCTTCTTGTCCACAAGAACTTCAAGGAATTCTGAGTAGGTGGAAAAAGCCAACTGTAACAGATCCATAGGCAAGCCTACCCATAAATTCCTCGAAGCAATTTCATGTATGGTGGTCGGCAAGCTGGTGTCTTTAAGCACTTCAGAAACTGTGGAAGTTGATCTTTTTCTACTGAATCCACATGCCTTCAACTTTTCACAAATATATTGATGGCAATCAATACTAAAAGATTCCTTTTCACGAGGACCCTTACAAGGTTTTATCATCTTTTCACCCAGAACTTTGGCAAGATTACCTTTCATATACCCATTTAGGAAATCAAGTTTCAGGTAATAAAAGCTCTTAGAAAAAGTATATTCCGCATCACCCACTGCGTATAGGAGAGAATCTTCAAAATGAAGAGGTGGTTCTTTGTGGGTTTCTTCCCATTTTTTTTGGAATTCCCATGAGGCACAGTATCTCTGTAATTCAAGCTTCCCCGAGGACATCAGTCTAATTAGCGTAAACCCACCAAAACTGTCCTTTTCAAACAACTGGGTAGAAAGGTCTTTGTCAAGGAAGCCAAACCCCAAAACTATTTCTTTCTTTTGCCGCCAATCAATCCATTCAGGAAGAGCATCCTTTGAGAACTCTTCTCTCACTAGACAACTTCCACAGGGACACTCACGACCTGACAGTGAGAGCTCTGAAGGGAGCTCCCATGCATAAAATGATTTGCAACCTTTCGAAATTTCAGCAGCAACAGATCCACTAAGAGGAGGCCCATAGCAAAAGCTACTAAAGTCGCAGTTCCAAAATGACCCCATAACAATGCAATAGCCTGACTCAGAAGCCCACTTATAATTACCATCATTCGAGTGTGACCTCATCACAGATAATGGAAACACATCAATGTAAGACGGGTGATCAAGATCATGTGCCCATCGCAACAATGGCATTAATGGCTTACGCAAGTCGCAAAGCAGCAGCCAATGGCCAGAAGCCACGGCAAAATAAAAACCATCAGATCCTACCTTAGAAAATTCAACAAATGGATCTTTTAGAACAACTGTATCCATAACTAACTTCTCATTTTTCAGCAAACAGCTCACCTTGCCTTCACCAGACCTCAAATCCACTAGAAACACAGCATTAGAATGAGCAACAATCAAAATCCTCGGATGCCAGCTAAATTCACAGCTCAACCATCCACCCTCTTCCAAACTAATTGAATCATCCCATCGAACCCTCAGCCTTTTCCCAATAAATTTAGCACTCAAACCCTGAGTTTTAGAACAAGAATCCAAATCAAATAAGAACAAATCACCATTCTCTAGGAGTACCACACTCTCTTCACACAAATGCGGACTCCAACAAGCATGCGCAACAGAAGAACTCTTAAACAATTTACTACCCACAGTATCTAATACCGGTCTCTCCGAATCCGTACCAAGTCCCCTGATTCTCACTCTAAACCAATGAACAGAGTACATTGTATAAGCTAACAAATACCCAACAGTAGTATAACATAATTTACCAGAACTCGAACACCAATCAGCAACTGGGTTAATAGATAATCTTACAATACGATGATTGAAATTAGTTTTAGCGGTAAAAATCTTACCCCCATCTCCTCTAGCATTCAATTTGCGATCCTGTACTGACAGCAGAAGAAACCCAATTCGATCGGAGTTGTCACCGGTGGGAAAGAAGGCGAGAACTGAATTGCTTTTGGGTCCGCACCGAAGCAATTGAAGGCGGTTGTGGGGCAGCGTGGAAGCACCGGAGTCGGAGAGCTGTGGGCCGAGGCTGCGGCCGACGGAGGTGCTGGTGGAGTGAAGGATGGAGGCTTCAGCGGAGGTCTGGAGGAATCTAGAGAGAGAGAGGCGTGGGTAAGGAGGAGGGAGGAGAGGAGCGAGAGAGGGAGAGGCGAAGAGTTGGGTTAAGGTTTCGGGAACTGGGTTGAAGACGAGAGGTCCCAAGTCTTTGGATTTAGTCGAAGAAGCTCCGCCTCCGCCGCCTACGGAGGAAAGGAGGGATGGGGCTGAGAAAACAGAGGAGATTGGCCACAGAGACTTCCAGTCTTCAGAGAAATCCATCTTTTGTTGTTGGCATGAATTTAAGAACTCGGTTGAGTCCCGCCAGAAATCAGTCTTAAGGAAGATGCACTACGGGTTGTGTGGAAGCCGTCGGTGCGTTCAATTTTGATGCGGCGGCTGTAATAAGCTTGTGACGAACCGACGGTCTCTTTTGGAGATTGGGATCATCAAAATAAAAGCTTAGAACGTAATTGAAAAAAATAATAATAATAAAAAGGGATAATTTCACTTACACCTCCACTAATTTGGCCAAATATCAGTATAAAATATCTTTGAAAAATAACTATCACCCACATTAAAAACTTTTGCTCCGTTTTTCACTCGCAAAAGTAAAAGTACATTTTTACCCTTTGACTTTGATTTAACCCTACCTTCATTTTTTTAATTTAATTTTTTACAAAATATCAATATTAAAAGACAATATGGCCCCTTAAAAATTTGTAAATTTACAAATTATGTTATATACGCCATTATCGAAATATGCCATTGTCCGGCTTCGCCTGATCTCGATTCCCTCGTCGAGCAATTCTCCACTGCGTGTATATACTCCTACACGCGCGCACACACACACACACATATATATATACTCCTAGATATACACACAGAGACATATATACACTCACACACACATAAGCACAACACCACCACCAATCGTCAGCGATCGCCGTAAAGAGGACCTCCAACATGCCTCGACTGCTCTCCTCAAGAAGATGTCGATCGGCACGTGTCGCGCAATTCCAACGATGGGGTGTTGAGCTTGTATTTGCCATGGTTTGATGGTGTCAGCTGTGAAGAAGGCGGCGGTGAGCTTGCGGCGGTGCTAGGAACATTGACGGCAGTGTGCTCGGCAGGTGGAGATGGCTGGTTCGGGACGGTATTGAATCAGCGACTAAAGAAGTCGTGATTCCGGTGATGGGCCATGATTGGGTTTGATAGCGATCGACGGGATTTAACGGCTGCGAGCTTACTTTGGATGATGGTGGGTAGTGGTGGAGAGGATGGCTGTGGATCGGCTGGTCCTCACCGAATAGTTTACTCATCGTCGCCGTTGTCCGGTCCACTCCGTCGCTGGAATTGGAAGTGGAAGGTCACAGATCGCCGCCGTGGTTTTGTGTGGCTTGGTTGATTTGTGATCAATTTTGTGGTTTTATTAGTGGATCTGCGTGTTTGGTGCAAAACCTCTAATTCATCTTAATCTCTTTCTCTCTCTATCACACACACCAATATGAAAACAAAATAATCAATTACAGTGTTTGGGGACTAGATTGGAGGCACCTTTAATCAAAATTTTGTTTTGGTTATTCCAAATTTGGAAAATATATCATTTTTTCTAACACAACAAAAATGGGTTTGGGTTATGCAACCACAGTTGCCGGCGGCACCACCACCACCACCCCCCATCATCGCCGACCACCAACCACCAATCTTTCTTTACACTTTCTCTTTTTCTTCTGCAACACTCAACTTTTGGAGCCACCACCCACCACTACCACGACGGCCAACAGTACCATCTACGCAATGCTCATTCATTGTTAGGGGTATAACTGTCTTTTAACTAATCTGATATTTTGAAATATATGTTATTAAAAAATAGGGGCAAAGTTGTCTTTTCACATGTTTTTAATGGAGACTGTGACGAAAAAGCGAAAATCGACCTAAGTGATAGTTATTTTCGAAAAATATTTTAGACTGATATTTGGCCAAACTAGTGGGGGTGTCAGTGAAATTATCCCTAATAAAAATAAAAATAAAAATTTGTCATCGATTAATAATAAATATATAAATAAATATTTTTTTATTAATTATATATATATATATATATATATATATATATATATATATATTTGATTTGTTTTGAAACTTTTAAATTTTGTAATTAATTTTTTTTAAAAAAAATTTATCTTAAATTTGTTTTACTTTACTGTGTAAATCAAATATCTCGAACCCAGGACGAGGACGGGTGCAGACGGATTTAAAAAATGAAGACTAGTGAAAATGAATTTTTGGAATCAAACCAGGTTGAAATTCCTAGCTCAAACATTTTCAAGTGATGACGGTGAGAGTTTCAAAATTTAATAGCTCTTTGCTAAAAAGATCCAAAATTGATCTTTTAAAACAGTGAAACCACAGACCTCCAATTGTCTGAACAGAAAATAATTCTTATTTTTTTCTTTTCTTTTCTCCAAAACCCTTAGGCTTGTTTTTAAGAGTACGGAATTAGTGTTTTGAAATAAAGATAATAATAATAGTAATTAATTTAAATTTGGAATTAAATTTGATCTAATTTTAAATACAAAGCGTCATACATATTTTAAAACATAATAGTTGATGGGGTTTAAATTTAATGTAATTTGACAAACCTCAATTTAGTACAAAACGAAGGGAGGCATTAGATTATCGACAAAAAATAAATTTCTAGTACATACTCGTAATTAGAGATTTTCCTTAATAGGCAGCGGAAAGGAATTAAAATGTAATAAAAAAACATCGATTCATATAGAAGAAAATATTCTCTATTAATTTAAATACTGTACCTATTGGATAGGGATAAAGGAAGAAGAAAAATCGAAGATTTCACATAGTCCTCTTGATGGAAAAATCAATCTGATTTATTTGGCACCCTTGGCTCAATGAGAAAATGGGTTCTGCCTCTAGAGTAACGAAGGAAGAAGCCACGGTCATAGAGAACTTGGAAAAAGGCAGCGTCAACATTAAGCTTGAGATGGCCCTCACGAGGGAGCACCCAATGAGATGGAGCAGGAGAAATGTGGGGGCGAGCCTGCAAGGAGATGTCCATGGTGGAGAGTTTTGTAGAATGAAGGCACTATCTCGACTACTGAAAAATTGAGAAATGAGGTTCGAGTTCCGCAACATAAGTTACTGGTGAGTTAATGGGAGGATTGGAGGTGATGCAAAAAGAGCTTGGTTGAATGCCTCAATGTCTCTGAAACCTAAGCCCTCCACATCTGCTGCTTTGGAGTCGCAAAGTCCAGACCAACCAAGCCATTTTATTTGGTTACTGCTTTCTTTCCCGCTCCACCAGAAATTCATAAGCTTGCTATTAAGTTTAATTCTGGAGCTTATCCCGGTCGGCAAAGTAGTTGAAAGTGCCGGTGTTGGACCAACTATTCTCTTGGATACCAAGGATTCTAGCACACTGAGTGTCTCGGTAGGCAAGGGAGTGTTAGGGCTGAAGCAAGCGCCTGGTTTCTCAAAATTGATTTTTCGATCGGTAAGGTTTTCATAGTCCTGCAGAATGCTTCTCAAATTGTGGGCTTCGGAAATGGTTGCGTGACAGAAGAGGATAGCATCGTCAGCGAAAAGAAGGTGTGAAAGCGGCGGGAAGGTCTCTGGTTAGAGAGACTCCATGGATTCTGTTGTCAAGAGAAGCAGAGTTGAGGAGTGAAGCGAGGCCTTCAAATAGAATGAAGCTGATCTTAGTAGTTTCAGAAAATTTGAGACTGAATCGAATCGTCGAATAGTCTAAATCGAACCAATTCAAACCATACAAGAATAATTTAGATCAATTCGGATTCACATATTAATGTTACCTAAAATCATCATAGTCAAATAAAAAGTTGGCTTTAATCAAGCCAGTTGTCACGGGCTTAGAGTGTGGTGACCAAAAAATAAATTAATTAATAATAATAATCTCTTTTGTCCATTTGAGATTGCGTTTCTAGTTTGTGATGTAATAAACATTAAGGACTAAGAACATTATTTATGAATGAGGGTCAAGATTAAAAAATAAAATAAGGTATTCGTAAACTTAATTTAACTCTATGCAAGTCAATCAAATGAAAACACAAACATATTTTAAGATTTCAGCTCGACTGAAACGTTTCGATTTTTAACTGTATTCCCCAGCAACCCTGTGCATCTCTCATCCCTCGTCGTTCGATTCACTTGTTGACTCCCTCTTCGATTGCTTCCTCTTTTCTCGTATTAGTTCCCGTTCATCCTGTGAAAGCATACCAAAAAAATAATAATAAATAAATAAATAATGAAGAAGAAGAAAAATATTTTTCAGATGCATGGAATAAAGGTATAAAATAAAGGTTGATCATTTCTAACTTCATCCACCAATATTTATGAGCAGTCACAATAAAGTTAATGAACATCAAACAAAGGTAAAATAATTCTGTGCTGAAACATATATAAAGCTATAGTAGTACTTCACACAAAAGAACATGTAATAGGGCAAAGATAAAAAAATAAAAACAAAAAAACAAAAAATAAAAACCATGCTTACAAATTCTGTTCGCTATTGTATTCTTAATGCCACATGATCTGTTACATCAAAGGTTATAAACTCGTCTATTACTATCTCAAACAAATAGACATTGTTTTTTAACTTCCCTAAGTACCCTAACCTCGAACACCATATTTCTCCTCGATTGTTCTGCCATAAAATCTGGTAGACAAGATGAAACATCTCTAGCTCTCTCATCTTATCATTCATCAGAGCCAATTCTAAGTTCATGAAAGTGATTTCTAGACACCTACCATAACTTTGTCATTCATTCATCTCAGCATATCCTTATTTAAGCCGAGAGTCCAAAATTAGAGGCAATTGCCCACTGCTAGTCTTGCTATCGGTGAGCTTTGCCGTAAGAAGTGTGTATACAGACCTAACTTTAGCATCATTTCCAAAAAGTGAAAGATTTCAAACTTGAATCTTTATTACCAAGCTTGATAGTCTGAACTTTCACTAAAAACCAGGCATTTGCACAAAGTGACAGCTCTCAGGCTTAAACCTGCGTTCTCATGCTTGGTAGTCCAAACTTTCACCAAAGACCAAGCAATGGCACCTAAAACCCATTTTAGTTGTGGTCAACAAACTATAGAATGTTTGTTGGCCGTCTAAGACTATGACATCATACTGCTAGTCCCCTGGAAGTTTCCCCTTCAAGTACGTTAATTACAAAATACTCTTGCTTTTCCCCTTAATACAGTGAGACCATTAGACCTGCCATAAATTTAACCTCCCAAATTGAACCACTACAAGGGGCTCCATGTGCTAATTCTCAATGTTTTTCATTTTTTGTATCATATACTTGGATCATATATCCATATAAATTAAAAAATATGCTAAATCAAATTTGGATAATATCCCGTGCACAATTATGTATTTATTCAACTCAATCAATTGTAACTTTACCTGATATAACTGGTGATCGATATGCCTTCACGCCCAACTACGGTAGCATAAACCACCAGTGGTGAGGCACCAGATGCATTTGGTCTCATTTTCATAGGTGCGGCCCCAGCAGCAGATGCATTCCAGAAGTCCATACCAATATTCAAATTGGTTGTTGGCACAGGCTTCCCTTGAACTGAGGTTCAAGGATTTTCACACTTATGGCGAACAGCAGCGTTACTCTTCACATTACCTTCTGAAGAAAATTTTAGAGTTAAAACTGGTATATTTTATTTCACAAAGAGATAACCAATGTTCTTAAATAAATTAGGACTACCATCAGCGAGCCTCTGGTTGAAGTTTCTCTTCTTAGTTGCAGAAGATGCCTTCAGAAAAAATGAAAATTAAATAAAACTATAAAATCTAACTCACAACATATACCAAGTCCTGCCTAATATTTGAAGTTAGTAATCAGGTTCACTAACTGACCGTTCAGAAGGCGCTCAATACAGTGCAAGTTAGACATTGATTCATGTCCCAATAAGGTCGTATGTTAGGAGGGGATGCAGAGAATTGGAACCAGGTTCCAATTATTTGCATCCCCAGGTTTCAGGTCATACAAAAACTAAAAAATAGTAACATAGTTCGGATAAGGCTTATGCAGCCTGGAGAAAAAATATACCAAACTAAACTTTGATCTATAAAACAAGTTCGTAAAACTGAAATCATGTACAGGTCCAGAATAGAGAGAGAGAGAGAGAGAGAGAGAGAGCAGATTCATACCTGTTGGTTATCATTTTCATCACTTGTTTCTAATGATCCTTCACTAGAACTTTCAGCACTGTAGAAAGGCATTTGTTGACAATAAGAAAAATAACATAGAATGTCAACAGCCAGCAACTAATGAATTTTAAGATATCTCTGCAAATGTGAGGCACCATCATTTCCAGAAGCTGAAGCTGCCTTTTTGCTTTCTCTTGACTTGCCACCTGTCAAACCTGTGATTGCCGGAGTTCCCTTGGAAATTTTCATATACCCTGGTTCTTTTCCATCAGATGCCTTTCCTTCAGCCTCTGTATTTGTCAAAGTCGCACACTGAGGCCTGAGCCCACAAGGAAATAGATAAATTTATCAAATTGTGACCAGGATATTGTAATCTTTTCCAGTAGGGATACAAAGTTTAGCTCCCACTTTGACCGTTCATATCATATTTTCCTGTCTTTGAAATTGGCTGTCTTAAAATTTATAGAAATATCATGAAAAAAGGAAAATTGTGTACGTGCGAGGGGTAGTGGTGGTGGTGGTGGGGAACATCATCAAAGCTAAAATAAATTTCCAATGATAAACTATTGGGTACCACAGCTATCTTAGAATGAGCATAAAGTCCTCCATGTGGATTGAAAGCTGGGTATGGAAGTGGTGTTCCATATGGTGGTACCATAAAAATGCTGAAAAAACACCAACAAGAGACATATTAGATTTTCTCATGAAAGTCAAGGAACAGGCAGTTTTCAGTTTTCACAATATGCAATTTTATTAAATCTCGCACATCGGAAATAATCACCTGACTCCCCCCATAGGTAGCTTGAGATGCAACAGGAGAAGCGAAAAAAGGAGGTGGAGTAGCTCCAGCACCATAGTATGCCGATTGAAGGATATAAGCTAATAAAAGGATTTGCTTACTAAACTAATATATAGTTCAACAAAAAAAGAAACCATATGTGAAACAAACCTGCATAGAAGCCGACCAATCAGGATACTATGGGGTAGTTGGTGCTTCCTGCCGATTAAAAAATAAACAAAAAATATTCAGCCAATTCATACCTGCTTCCCATTAGAATTCTGTGTTGTTGTATCCATGCTGGGCAATTTCTCAGAGAATAGAACTGGTTCAAGTAAAGAGAACAGATTCACTTTTTGGGAGCCATAAGATGTCTCACCTGCCATGCTCATTTTGAAGATCAGACACAACCTGGCATGGCAATTTCATTGGCCACCTGCATTACCTCGTTGGACTCCAGAGTAAGTTGAGTATCAGCTGACAATAAATCTGCTTCTTCTCCCATACACAGCTAATGTAGAGAGAGCAGAATAGGAAGAGGAAGAACTGGATCCAGAGGAGCATGCACCAGGTTGCACTTTTGTGACCACTTACTGGCATGCCACTTTAATGAACCAGACCCAGCTTACCAGTAATCCTTGCATGAACAGGAACCACTTTGAAAGTGATGGAAACGATTTGCATCTCTTATTATAATTTTCCTTTCATAAATTTTTGAAATAAACTTGAAGGCTGAATGACAATCATTGCAAACTCTAAGATTCTTGGTTACATGAATTGCCAATCCTGTTTCAATCTTCATAAGGCCAAAAGCCACAGCCAGCTTCTCACTGTGAAAGTTGAGGATGTGCTCCTTATCCTCCTCTTCTACATCATGCAGAATACATGACCGATCTGGCACATACCCTGCCATCTTCATCTCGATTGCCAAACTCTCTACCTTTCTATAAACCTCTCTTGAATACGGATTCAACTGGTCTGCAGTGTGGAATCCATGAACTTCTTTACCAAACTCAATCACACTGAAGGCTGCAGGTTTTTTCAATCCTCTACGTTTCATATCTTGTCTCAGCTTTCCAACTTCTTGCCACTTACTTGAAACTGCATATATATTTGACATTAGCACATAATATCCAGCATGTTCTGGCTCAAGCTGGAATAGATTGTTGGCTGCAATTTCCCCTAATTCAGTATTCCTATGGATTCTGCAAGCCAAAAGCAACGCACCCCAAACCCCATCAGTTGGCTGTGATGGCATCTTTTTGATCAAATCATAAGCTTCATGCAAAAGACCAGCTCGGCCAAGCATATCAACCATGCAAGCATAGTGTTTCGCCTCGGGTATCACAGAGAATTTTGCCATGGCTGAAAAACACTCCCAACCCTCATTAATAAGCCCAGCATGGCTACAAGCAGAAAGGATGGATGTGAAAGTGATGTGATTTGGCTGTACACCTTCCTCTTGCATTTGCGAGAAGAGTTCAAGTGCCTTTTGACCATGTCCATGCATGCCATACCCTGAGATCAACACATTCCAAGAACTAACATCCCGTTCATTTGAGCACATCCTATTGAAAATTTCAACTGTAGTGTCCAAATCCCCACACTTGGCATACATATCCATAATTGCGTTCCAAAGTGTTGTATCTATTCTTATGTCATTATTAATTATAAAATTGTGGAGTTTTCTTCCAAGCTGCGAAGACCCCAGATAAGAACAGGCCGAGACCATGATCAATGCTGTCACAGGATTAGGTTTAGAACCAGAAGCCTGCATCTGATCAAAAAGTAATAGCGCTTCACTCGCTAGTCCATTCTGGGTATAACAAGAAAGCATGGAATTCCATGATATCCCATCCCTTTCCTCCATTCTATCAAAGACCATACGCGCGTTCTTTGCATCCCCACACTTGGCATACATGGCAACAATCGAGTTACCTACGCAGACATCCCCGAGAAAAGCATTACAAATGACATATGCATGAACTGAATAAGCCTTCTTTGCATCTCCCAACTGACCAACAGCAGAGGCAACAGTCACAGCTGTAACTGAATCCATCGACAAACCCTCTTGCTGCATCTTGTCCAACAAAATCAGCGAGTCCTTGGCTTGCTCAGCCTGCTCATAGGCTGTGATCATTGCAGTCCAGCAGATGAGGTCCCTCTCAGACATTCCATCGAAAACCCTTCGCCCATCATCAATTAAGCCGCATTTAGCATACATGTCAACAAGAGAGGCTTCAACATACATATCAAAATCAAACCCAGTTCTTATAACATCACAGTGAACAAGCTTTCCTTGGACAGATAACAATTTGGAAGCACATGCTTTGAGAATGAAAGGGAAAGTGTAATTGTTGGGTTCAATGCCGGTTCTTCGCATGAGCGAATAGAAATCCAGCGTTTGAGTGAAATGACCTCCATTAGCGTATGCGCGAAGCATTGTGTTCCAGAGGAAAGAATTGGGTCCATGGTGAATATCATCGAAGAGAAATCTAGCACTTTCCGGGTACCTGAACATGGAATACTTGATAATGATCTGAGCACCCAGATGAGGGCTTTGCCTGATGAAGCCAAAAGTAGTGAGAGATGAGTGAATTTGCTTGAGAGTGGTCAAGCTATTACAGGAATGCAGAAGAAGATCGTAATGGCTTTCTAACTCCACAAATGAGGCAATGCCAATATTGGATCTGAGCGAGAGACCTTTGCCAGTATCATTGTTCTTGAAGTCTGGATAACTTAAATTTACCTTACTTTTTATACAATTGTGCAACTCATATGGGTTGGTGGAAAACTCCTGCCACAAATGAGGGTGCTTGTTGTGTATCTCAGAAGTGGTTTCACCTATATTTGCAAAAATAGGAATGTAAATCAACATTAAGTAAATAAATGATATTTTAAAATATATATATATATATATATATAACAGAAGTTTTATTGTTTCCATTGATATAGATACTTCCAAACTGTCAGTCCATGGCCCAACTAAACAAAGTTCTAACAAATCCTAGACAAACTTAAATCAGTTCATGTTGGACAAGCCCAAGTCAGGTAGGGAATGGTAAATTCATCCTTTCTTTTTTTACATTTTTTTTTTTCTTCTCCTCCAGCCAAGACCACACGCAGCACTTCTTCCCCATACACCTCCTTGCCATACAACAACCCATATAGATGGTACACTAAACACCAACACAACCTCGACAAAAAAAAGAAACACAGGAATCATATATCAATAATATTCCTGCAAGCCTTGTCAAGGTTTCTTCTGCGTCTGCTACACGGTCATTTTTGGTGAGTCTCTCCTATTAAAGCCACGTCTTCAATTCATTGACAATTATTCAAATATATCCAGACCATATCCAGCAAAGGAGAAGGGACGATGGGAGATGAGAGGAACTTATCATAACATATATTCTAGCAATTAAATATATGAATTATACCTCCCACCTCGGATTGCTCAGATTTTTGGCAAGTTGAGCCTCGACCATAATGTGCAAAGAAGTTTATTTCATTCACAATTACCTACATAGAACAAATCAAATGGAAATGTGTAAAATAATTAGCTATTAACACCCACATACATGATGCATATGAATGTCTGGTCTACTAAGGTCATTTCTTGCTATTTTATAAATCATGCTATTATAGTTTATCTAGTAAAATTGCTCATATCGTATTAATTGAATTTATTTCATTCACAATTACCTACATAGAACAAATCAAATGGAAATGTGTAAAATAATTAGCTATTAACACCCACATACATGATGCATATGAATGTCTGGTCTACTAAGGTCATTTCTTGCTATTTTATAAATCGTGCTATTATAGTTTATCTAGTAAAATTGCTCATATCATATTAATTGAATTTATTTCATTCACAATTACCTACATAGAACAAATCAAATGGAAATGTGTAAAATAATTAGCTATTAACACCCACATACATGATGCATATGAATGTCTGGTCTACTAAGGTCATTTCTTGCTATTTTATAAATCGTGCTATTATAGTCTATCTAGTAAAATTGCTCATATCATATTAATTGAAAAAATCCATTCCATACAGAAAATTTAAAAAATTCAAATGAAAACTATCAGGTAATGGGTAAATCAAGCCACGCAAAATTTTCAAACCTAAATGCTTAACTAGATTTCACATGAAAATCCAAGTAAGCTTGAAGCAATACAAATACATGCATTCGCACGAGCTGTCACAAAATTACCAATACACAATCATGCACTAGTTGCAAACAATCTCTATATCCAACCTAACAAGCATAGATATTTACATGAAGGAACCTAAATTGTGCCGGACACTACACTTGCCTGACACTCCCACACATGTTTGACCAATCATATACATGTTTAATTTGTGTAGGATGTTTGAGCTTGAATATATCTATACTTGTAATATTCTTATTTTTGAACACATGGTCAATACTTCTGGACTACTACCAAACATGTAAAGATGCAACTTGGGCAGTTCAAGCCTAATCTATGTAGGATCAATCTAATCTTTAAACATACTTGAACAATTCTTTTGTTGCTTTAGTTTATCTTTGGTTGAAAATTTCAACAGAGCTCAGTGCAAGTTGAACTTAAGTAGAGGCCTCAAACAACCTGAGCCCTACTCAAATCTGAGCTATATTATCATTATTTAGCAATACTATGATTAGACTATTAAAAAGCCAAGCTTAATTGAAGCTTAACCCAAACTAAACCAGTGTATAATCTGACCAACCCAAGCCTACCCCGAGTTCAGAGAAATAAACTTGAGTTGGGTTCATCAGTTTGAAGATTGGATTGAACTTCGGCTAGAGTACAAGGTTTTATACTTCAGATTGAGATTGAGTTAACCCTTCAACCTGCCAAAGTTGCACCACTACACACACAGGGCTGGCAAAACCTGGACATTAAGATGTGACTTTCTTTTAATGTGAAAAAGAAAAGAAAAGAAAAAAAAAATTGTTAAAAGGGACCAAATCAGAATTTCTATATAAAATTTATCAGAATAATTGACTACATTTTAAAAGTAATAACCAATTTTTTAAAAGGAGTGAGCAAGGGAGGAAAAGATGATACACTACCATTTTGTGTACACACATATACATATCTAGATACACATGCATAATTGTATATATTGTGTCCTTGTTTTTGTCTTTGTCTATGCAACATAAGTTGATTATTCATTATTATAATTCATAAGTTCAAATTTTCATATTAACGCTATAATTTATAAATTATTATAATTACTAAAAAAAATATCATAACTACTTGTGATAAGGTAATAGAATTCATTATTGGCATGTTCTCACTACGACTACATCCATGCCCTACTTTCTAAAAGAATTTGATGTCATAAATATCCTGTGTGTTGTCGTGTTCATGCTTCATAGCATCAAACACAACAATATCTAGACAATAGTCTTTATCAACTGTAAATAATATCACTCATGCCGCTAAATTGTCAAAAACAATGTCATAGTCATAATATAAAAAAATTAAGTAATGGAATGGGGAAAATAGTGAATAAAACTTAAGATACAAAACGGATTCCTAGTTTGGCACCATAATCTCTATTCTCGAACAACTTCAGACAAGGAAAAGAATCAAAGATCAAGGGATATCCTACTTCATCTTTGTGGGTTATAAAGGTCATGCCTAAACGCTTAATGTTCTAGAAACAACAATCCACATTTTAAACGAGTCGAAAACAGTTGCCTGAACAGTTATAGCAATACTAACCTCAGATTTTGTTCTGAATTTCCCATTTCCATCAGCCTTTGTGTATGATCCTAAATGATCTGAAACATAAATAAATAAAATCCCATTCACAAACTTGTATAATGTAAGTGACTTAGCAGCAGTGATAGCTTGAAACGTCATAAAATTCAAATTAGGAACATACGGGAGCACAAGAACTATAGTAAAAGAAAGTACTACTACTATACATGTTTTCAAGTATAGCACAAAATACCTAAATAAAAAGCAAGAGACATGTTTTTTTTCCATCAAGAACAACAGTGCATGCATATAACTGAAATCATGGAATTGAAATGCGTATGACATGATGCCACAAAAATGTATATATATACATATATAGAGAGAGATGATTAAATGAGTCTCACTTGAACGATTGAATACAGTGACTGGACGTTTTGAAGAAACCGCATCTCTGAATAGGACACGGAGACGACGCGCCTCCATAGACGGCGGCGCGTTGCCGGAACTAATCGCGAGCTATTCTGTAGTGACAATCAGAAATTGGGAAAATGGGCGATTAGACCAATCCGAAATAGTATATTAATACTACTACCACCAGATAGAGCCCGAGATTAAATTTAGGGTTTTTGGTTGGGAATATTGTTCGAAAATGGTACATAGAATGCGTGTATTTGAAGATGGTAAAAAATAAATAACGTAAAGAAATTTTTCTATCAAAGAAAGCGAAAAAAAAAAAACACTACTGTTATTAGTAGGATTTACTTTCATTAGTAACCGGACCGAACTTAGCCTTTAGAACAGGCTGGTTAATTTTAAGGCCCATTTTTATTATCATTCTACATTTTAAAAGTTTAGCCCTTATGTATATAAGTTTGACCCAACCCATATCATCTCATTATTCAGGCTCATGCAGATACAATTCATTAACCCATCATCAAATAAGGTTTAATCTCAGCCATTAGAATTAGAGTAGACCTAGAACTACAAGTCTGTGGGATGTCCTCTTCTTCTGCTCCACTGCATGGTCCACATGATGTAGTCGGCAACCCTCTTCATGCAACACAATTCTCACTCTTTCCTCTTTCTAACTGATCTCAACGCACCGCAGTGCAACATATCAATAGATCAAGTCCAATAATGCCTTGTAAGGTTTGATTTAATCTTGTTTTGTATTATTTTTTCTTTTTCTTTATTGTCGGAGATCAAGATTGGATGAATTTGTTTCTCGGTCGAAGATGAAGATCGAATTTAATGGAAGAGATCAGGTGATTTATTGAATTGGTGGCTATTGAGTAATGTAACGATCCCGACCCGAGCCCGAGCTTGTTGAATCTCTACCGAGTCGAGCTCAAGCTTGACTAAGTCCAAGCTCGCCTGAGCACCTTTGTGGAGTTAATGAGCCGAGCAAGCCAAAGCTCGGCTCGGCTCGGTTCATTTGCCATCATAGGTTGAAAATTTGTGGAGCTCTAATGGGGGATCCTTGTGTATTTGAGTAAATTTACCTATATATAAAAATAAAAATTAATTAATTGGAGGGATTTTTTATTTTGCAATATATGAGTTTTCTCTTGATATAGTATAATTTTATTAATATTTATCATATTTTAAAATAAAATTTTGACTTTAACAAATTTGTTACATTTTAGGTTTCTGTATTCTTTTTCATTTTCATTTTTTTTTTCTTACATTTTGGGTTTCTATTAAGCTAGTCATTGTTTGATGATATCTAGGAAGAACGAATTTAGATACCAAATTGGCGTACATGATACGGACTCGATGACATGGTAAATCTGAAAAGAATAAAAAAAATTATATAGGATACGAGTATTACATAGATACGTTAAAAAATATAATATTATATAAGGTAAAGTGCAAAAAACTCTATAAACTATGTCCGAATTTGTAAATAATCACCTTGAAGTATATATTTTGTGCATAATACCTCCTCAACTATCACATTTTGTTGCAAAATGCCCCGATGCCTAAACTATTTTTCATTAAATGAACATTGATGGGGGAAAAGTAACCCTAAATTTGGCTGTTGCCTTTACCGTACCATTCCCTTCAACTTCCTGGGAAAAGAGTATGATGATACGATATCATTCAGTTGACAAAGATAGGGGAGATCAGTTAGAAAAGATAAACTGAATCTCCCTAATCAATATCTACGTAATCAGACTATCTCGATGCAACCATAAATATGGTTGATGGTCATTAAACAAGGAATGAGGAAAAAACTCTTGAACATTGAATACAAAATTAATTTTTCTGATTCCGATCACTTACTTGATCGTCGGAGGGTCCTCGGCTGGCACCCCACTGGTGCCATCCGAGGTGACGTAATCTCCAATATTTTGTAAGTAAACGTAGTTGTTCCTGGTCGCATACATTTTGGCATCAACATTTGGCGTCATTTATGGGAAACGATTAGTTCCTTGAAGAAATAGTAATTCTGATTCGATCTAGCTTGGACGGTGCGATGAAGGTTTCTGATCATGGAAAACGTCCTGAAAGCATTCGTTGTGCAGTGTCGCAACAACGGGTTCCCCACTTTTATAGAAGGACGAGTCTCCATATCAAGATTTCCCCATCCATCATACTAGGGGTAGAACGATGAGTCATATAATGCCACCCTGTATATGATGACAGTATTCAAAGTTTAGCACATCAGCCCAGACACCAGACCAACGTGTCTGGTGTCTCCCACTTAGCAGTGTTTGGTCCCCTCACTACTGAGGTATGTCGCCCAAGACCAAATCTTATCTCCTATCTGTCAGAAGCCAACTACCAAGGCCAGATTGTCCAATACTAAGGCCTGGTCATTCCACACCTACGTAAACTGGTGGGTCTCTACCCACCAAAGGAGGCCTATACGAACAAGAAGGTCTCTACCCACCAAGGAGGCCGCTACCAACCAGGGGGTCTCTACCTACCAGTGAGGCCTCTACCACCAATGAGGTCTCCAGCAATAGTAAAGTCTCACTGCTCTGTTTTTCTATACAATTATGGTGGCCTTTTACACCCAAGAATGTATCTTAAGGCCCTCGCATCCAAGGTGGTCCAATATCTCTCAAGATCCCATGTCCAAGGAGGTCTATATGCCCAAAGAGGTTCCTAAGTCTAGGGTGATCATTGCACCCAACGAGGTACTAAACTAGTGGTCACCAGGACATCATCAGTTAGATATTGGGCACCACACCTCCATCCACCACTAGGTCTCAAGTTGATCGTTGGACACCAAGCCTTCACCTACCAAACGTAGGTCGTCACTTCTCTTCCCTTGTAGGAAATGCCCATTGACATCAGATTATGCAGAATTTTGGATTGATAATCCATTGCAGATTTTCAATAATCATCCTGAACACAATTTAACATCTTAGACAATCGTAAATTGTTGTAGCACCATGACACCCGGTCCACCGTTATTAAACGTCTACAGAATAGGTCCCCACCCAACATCCCACATTCACCATAATGGAGGCAGAACTGTGAATCACATAATATCAATCGGTCATAATGTCGATCTACATATGATGCCAAGGTTTAGAAAACCAACGCATCAACCTCGATACATCAAGCCAGCCAAATTCCTGGTCTCTCTCTCCCAGCCAGTACCTGACCTACCCCTCAGGCTACTTTGTCTTCTGAGACGAGGCACTAGTTGTCTAAGACCAATGCCTGATCATCCAAAATCATAGCTTGGTAGGTATTTACACATTAGGAAGGAATTTAAGTCCAATAAAGTTTCTACAATCAATGAGCTCGCCACATTATGGTCCCATACCCAATGAGGTATTTGACCATCGAGCACCAATGATGGTCTCTTCTACAAGCAACCAAGCCTGGTCTCATGCACATCAAGCCTGGCGGGACTCAGCCACATCAAGCCAGAGGCAGATCCAAGCCTCTAGAAAAGACTCACCCGCATCAAGCCTTTGGCAAGGCTTCACCCACATTGTGTAATACACCTAATTTTAAAAGGATAGTTTCAAGATTTATTTAATTATTTTTATTGCATTTTTAATTAATTATTTGATTATGTGGCTATTTGTTTATGTGCTTTTAATTGAATTATTTGTTTAAATTAAGTATGTGATTAAATGGTGTATTTTAATTTAATTTATTTGTATGATTTTACTTGCTTAAATGATGTGTAGTTATTTGTAATTAATTGATAGGATTAAATGGATTAAATGTTTATTTTATTTTATTTTGAACGAGTTGGATTTAGATAGTAGTAAATGGATTAAATGTTTATTTTATTTTATTTTGAACGAGTTGGATTTGGATAGTAGTAATGGACCAACCATTTGGGTCACATGGACTACTCGAATAGGAGACTTAATGGGTATGCATAATTACCCTTGGATGGTTATGTGTGTATGTGTGTGTGTGTATATATATATAAGTATATATATATATATATAAGGATAGCTTTATTATTAGTGTTATTATCTGAAAAATTACTAGTAATAATATTAATAAAAGGTTTGGTCAGTAGTGTATATATATATAGTTATATATTATATATAAGTATATCTGTATTCATGTTATATACAGACTTAGCTTTTATATATATACTAAGAAAGGGGTCCATTACTATTATATGTATTCACGTTATATACAGACTTAGCTTATATATATATATATATATATCTTTTCTTTTTCTTTAAAAGAAAAATAAAAGGAAAAGAAAAAGGAAAAGATCTATATATGTGTGTGTGTGTGTGTGTGTGTGTGTGTGTGTGTGTATTGCAGTCTGCAGAAGGGTTACAAAAACCCTTACTCATATAGACTAAGAGATGGGAAGAGAAGAAAGAGAAAATCGAGAGAGGAAAGAGATAACTCGACCAAAGGTTAAGGCTGGACTAGAGAGGAAGGAAGGGAGGCTTGCTCGTGGAGGGGGACAAACCAGCAGAGAGTTCGACGACAACTAAGGTCGCAGGAAAATTAGAGAATGAAGGAGGTTTAAGGTTTCAATCCGAAATCCTTAAAAGCAAGTTCTTCTTTTATCTTTTTCCCTTAGATCACGTGTTCTATACATGCTTAGGATAACTTCAGGACGATTAATTATTATTAATAAACCTGTTTACATGCTTTAAAAGATTAATCACAGTGTATGATTTAATTGTTATGGATTTTCATGTAACTTGTATGATTTGATAAATTAATTCATGATATTTGTTGTAAGTTGATGTAAACATGTTTAAAGGCTTTAAATTAATTATTGGGACTCTTTGGAACCTAAAATTGAAGGTTAGAACCCTTAACAGTAGAGGTTGGATGGAAAAACAGAGGCTGGAAACAAAGAAGACGACCCGCAACAACAACCGAGCTGACTCAGTTGAAACTGAGCCGACTCGATTGGTAAAGGAACCGATTTGGTTGAGAAAGAGCCGACTCGAATTGGAACCGAGCCTGCTCAGTTGGGCTGCGACTTGGATATTTTATTTTAATTGCCATAATTGTTTTAAATCTATTTTAATTAATTTAAATAGGTTTAATGGACTTGGGAAAGTCCCATAATGCATAATATACCTTTATATGCTTAAGGATTGAACAATATGAGATTTTAAATAACTTCTATGTGGTTTAATGGATGCTTTTATTTATTTAATTGTTTTAACAGTTGAAACAAAGTGCTTAATTGATTTTAATCATGACTAAGAAGATGTATATAATTTAATTGAGATATAG